GGCTCTGTGTCCGGGCCTTGTCCTCCTCTTGTCCTTGTCTTGGCCGCCCCTGAACTCTGTGGCTGGTCTCCGTGGCCCGGCTGACTGGGCCGAACAAATAGCGGTAGGCGATATCGATGCTGACAAACATCATTGATAAAGCAGTTTGCTCTTGGGGGAAGGCAGGGCGTACCAAGAAATCGTTTTTTGATGTTTTTGACAAATACTGGTCCAAACGAATCGTTTTAAAGCTGTTTGGGTTGGGGTCTATGCTGGTATAATCACCTTCCAATCCAATAGCTTCGCAGTATAGTGGGCGGCAGAAAATTGTTGGCATGTTGGGTTTATATAGTGAGTGTACGCTTGTGGATGTGGACCTTTACATAGCTGGGCCAAGAATTCAAGACAGAGCATACACAGAAGATTGTGCACACACACACACACCTAGCGATCCTAGTGGCTCAGCCGAGGGCTTGGCTTGTCCTTGAGCCCCTAGTCCTCGGCTGCGTTGAGGTTTGCGGACTCCCTCCTCAAACCTCGGGAGAAGACACGCTGTACTCTCGACATGCTCCGGAGCCGGGGGCCGGGCTTGAATGAACCAAAGAGACAACGGCTCGGTGAGCCTACGATCTGTCTTGCACGATTTGGGCGCCAAACAGCCATCTCCGCGATGGCCCCGAAAACCACTGGACGGCCCAGCATCGTGAGGGCCATAATCATCAGCTTCATCAAAGACAGATTTGCTGATGTGGGCGTGGACCAGAAACACACTCCAAGCCCAAGCTCCCAGGTTGGTCACAGTTTGGTCAGTGGCTGAAACAGGGTCCCAGGGCTTTAATCACCTCTGAGTCAGGCCTACGACTTCCAAGATCTTTTCCAAGTAGTGGAGCAGCAGCAGCAGGCCCTTCTCCGCTTGGCAGACGTGCCTTGGCTTCCGCAAAGCGATTCATACGAGGCTGTGCGCCTGCACAAGTATGCATGTCCACAAGGGTTGCTGTCACGCTTGGTTGACATTATATTAGTAGTTTAGCTCATATTACAGTGTTAAAATGGCATTCAGGGCTGCGGCCCGGCTGCCCGAAGTGGTCACCTCGACGACCGGCTCAAGGAACACCGCGCTCAATGGGAGGGATCACTGAGATGGTCCTCAAGGAATAGACATCTTCCGCCACCAGGCAGGGATGTGGACCGTTTCTGGTGGATTTCCTCCATGTGCACTGTACCTTCACAAAACGGCATTGTGCAGACGGAGGGCGGTGGCCCAATAGGTTGGGCTCAAGTGGGTTGCTCTAGGACTCTAGAGGTTGCACCGATACATAGGTTAGATACTTGCATGTGTGTAGAATTATTCAGTGGACTCATTCATATGATTTTGATGATTTTGATCATCTCTCATCACGACCTTCTGCCATATACAATTTCAATGTATATAGCTGTAGATCCAGCTTCCCGGGCACATCTGCGACACCGCCGTGTTCAACGCCGGACTCGCCGTGTTCAGCTCAGGGCCAACGCGGTGGGGGTCGAAGGGCTTGAAGCCTTTCGGCTTCGTCCGCGGCTTCCGACCTTCGCTTCCTTCGGCGGAGGCGAGGAGCGCTTCACGAAGTTGAGTGCGCAATGCATCGCCGAACAGCCTCAGCAGCCGGCCACCTGGGATCCCGTACCTTCCAACCCCTTCGACGACGAGACCTTCGCCTACGATGTGGATGACCATATCAAGGCGAAGAAGACCGGACCGGGGATGACGGCGTGACTGCGGGGGTGACTGCGGTGGGATGGGTAGGTAGGGATGAGGATGGGGGGGCTTGTGGACCTGATGAATCACAGGGATGCTTTCGCGGGACAATGATGGAGGCGGAGGTTGTTTGGTGCAGGTGACTGTCAACAACGAAGTGGTCTTTCCCAAGGACATCCAGGCTGGATTCATTCATCCTGCTATGTGCTTCGACGGTTTTCTCTGCTTTGTCTTGCTGAGTTCTGGATTCTAGGTGCTGGAGGAGAGTTCTGAGCTTGCTTCTGGGCCGGTCGAAGCAGGCACGTGTGAAGTTGGACGAGTAGGGGCTGAAGAGCCAAGGGCAAGTAAAGGGCGAGTCCTTCTTCATAGTCTATTTGAAGGATGCTAGACTGCAGCTAAGACTCATAGGCCATATGCCATAATAGGCCACTCCAGGCCGCGGTCGTTCATGGTGCCCAGGACCTATATAGTTCACTCACCGCAGTTCCAGTGAACGGGGCCAGGCAGCAGCCGGATGGGGCGGCACTCGGTGATGTCAGCCAACGTGAAACCAGTTGACTTTCATTTGACCGAGCACCTTGGCGGACGATTTGGCTGGGTTTGGGCGGAGGACGTGGTTTGGCTGGGCACTTTGTCGGGCCAATGTTGGTTTGGAGTTTTGCGTTTCTCTTGACTTTGTGGCTTGGGCTGGGTGGAATTGAGGAAATTGAGTCTTGGGGTAGGTTTGAGAGTGTTCTAGTGCTAAGAGATGTCAAGACTTTTGCCAATGATTTCGACAGAAGAAAGCCTGGGAGAGCAACCAAATATACCACACCCCTCATGACTCACGTGAGCAAGAAGCAAACTCTGGACCATTGCAAGCCTGGAGCCCCCAACACCATGTAGCGAACGACCTTCCAGACAGGTCAATCAAGGTATCCTGGTTTTGACCCACAGCCATATGGCTTTAAGGATTGGTGCTCGTCCGTCAGCAGCCCCGTCGGCTGAGGCGTTCATTGCAGGGTGCGGCTTTGGTCAAGAACAGATGCAGGAGCGCAGCCTTGTCCAGAGATCCCTGAAGCTGCAAAGGTGAAGTTGCCAGCCAACTGTCAGCTCCTGTGCTCAAGTTTGCTCAACTTGATTTCTGAGTTTTGCAAGTTTGAGAGGGCCGATCCTAATGGATTTCGAGGGTGCGAGTTCTGTCCTGGGTGAGCAGGAAGATTTTGGATGCCACCGCAACTGCACTGGTCATTTTGACACTTGGCCGAGACCAACACGGGGCCCACAAGGCCAAATTGGCGTTGTGGTTGATACATATATATATATATAGCTAGGCGTCCAAGTCCCACCTTCGCCTCTTCATCAGCAACCCTGCTGAATCGAGCAGCGGTTCCTGAATCGACCTGGGCACCAAGGAATTGCATGATGCTCATGGTGGAGCTGGAACTTGAGGCGCAAGTCTGCAAAGTACTGTAAGCTTTGCATCACTCCCCGACAGGGATAGAACCGTTAGGCTTGATATTGTTTCCTCCAAGAACCACATGTGAATCTTTCACTTGGGTTCAACCTTTTTTGATAAGTCTGCCCAAGCTGGCCCAACCCTTCAATATATAACGGAGGGCCATTTAATTTTGTTTTTTTTTTGTTTCCTTTTTTGTTTTTTTTTGGGTTTTTCGTGGCTTCTGGCTTCTGGCTTCTGTGGCTTTTGGCTTTCGTGGCTTCTGTGGCTTTTGGCTTTCTTGGCTTTCGTGGCTTCTGTGGCTTTTGGCTTTTGTGGCTTTTGTGGCTTTTGGCTTTTTGGACTATCCATCTATTTGTCTATATCTATCTGTCTATATCTATCTATCTTTCTTTATTTCGTTCTTTCTTTCTTTCTTTTTGGCAGCTGTTCTCCTTTCTCTTTTTGCATTTGCTTTTCCTGTTGTTTGCGTTGCAGAGACGAAACCAAACAAGGAAGCAAGCAAGCAAGCAAGCACGAGCTGCTCACCTTTGGATCTGGTGTGCTGCTGGGGGGGGGCGCTGCGCCCCCCCCAACCGCCCCCGCGCCACGAAATCTGCACTTCATCCCCGACACCCGCGCCTGCCACGAAATCAATATTTTAAGGTGAACCCCCCGGTGCAAAACTTTCTAACCAAGCAAATATGCCTCCTCTATCTATCTATCTACCTATCTATCTATCTACCTACCTACCTATCTGTCTGTCTGTCTGTCTGTCTATCTATCTATCTATCTATACTATCTATCTATACTATCTATCTATCTATCTGTCTGTCTATCTATCTATCTATCTAACTATCGATCCATTTATCTTTCTATCTTCAGTTCAACATCCACAAAGTACTGCACCTGCCACGAAATCTGCACTTCAAGGTCCACAAAGCCTTGCGTCTGCCACGAAATCTGCACTCCAAGGCCCACAAAGTCCTGCACCTGCCACCAACTCTACACTTCGACATCCACAAAGTCCTGCATCTGCCACGAAATCTGCACTTCAAGGTCCAAAAAGTCCTGCGCCTGCCACGAAATCTGCACTCCAAGGGCCACAAAGTACTACACCTGCCACGAAATCTGCACTTCAAGGTCCACAAAAAGTCCTGCGCCTGCCACAAAATCTGCACTCCAAGGCCCACAAAGTCCTGCACCTGCCACCAACTCTGCACTTCCACATGCACAAAGTCCTGTGCCTGCCACGAAATGTGCATTGCAAGGTCCACAAAGTACTGCACCTGCCACGAAACACGAAAAACAACAAAATACCAAAAAAAGAAACCAAAAAACATCCAAAATTAAGTCGCGGCCCATATATAAGTTAATGTTTTCTTCAATTTGGTATTGGTATCTTCTTTTTTGTTGTTTCTTTTTTGGTGGGTTCTGGCCTTGGCTCTGGCGGCTCTGGTGGCTTTTGGCTTCTGATTCTGTGGCCGTGATGGTCATCGGTGGCTTTGGGCTTTGGCGGCGTCCTCGCTAGCTGCAAGACCTCCGCCGGCCGTGAGACTGACCTTCAACCAATGCCATCCCCAGAGCTTGAGCCAATCCGGGCAGGTGGAGCTGATGCACAGGTGTCGTGCAATTGGACTTGCCCAGAGGATGAATTTGAGTCTTGAGATGCCTTTTTTTGCAAACAACTTTGTAAAATCAAGGAGGTTTCTCCACTTTGAATTTGGCCTCTTGAGACGGCCTCGTCAGCAATCCAGGCAACGTCGCAGACCTTTTGTTTTCACTCCTTGCAACGTTTGTTGATTTCCTCCACCTATTACTTCATAGGAAAAGAGCCAGGAGAATCAACAATTCCAACGGAAGTTCTGAGGTTGAAATGACATTGACACAGAATTGGAATCTTCAATTTAAAAGGAAGTTGAAAAGGAACCTAACCAGCAAGCGCACAAGGACATAGAAAGCACATTTAGAAGCATATCGAAGTATAAACAGAGATTGACAATGCATTTCAAAAGAACATCTTACCACAAAAGGAAATTGAAAAGGATTTGAACGGACATTCACATGAAAAGGGACAATGAAAACAACTTTGAAAGGACGCTTAAATCAAATGCAAATTGACAAGGCGTTTACAAGGGTATGTAAGTTCAAACGCAAATTGAAAAGGAACACAATCGACAATATTTTAGCTATTGTAAGCGGAGCAAGAAGACCCCCAAAAAGAATAATACCAAATCAAATTACCACATTAAAGTGTGCCTATAAGATGTTCTTAGTGGTTGCCAGACAAGGTTGAACTACGGAACTCCCGTTCAAAAACACATGTGTGGGCCATATATATATATATATATACAAGCGATGGTCGTGGGACCGTCGCACCATCAGCTCTGCTTGGACGGTCAGGGCAGAGCAGTGGGCTCCAAACTGGGACTTTCTGAAGGCTTAGATTTGACGGAGCTCCTACGATGGTTCCACGTCGCCCGGCCAGAGCTAGAGCTCGCGGGGGGGGCGAGGTCACGGACCAGAGAGAGAGAGAGAGATAGATAGATAGATAGATAGAGAGAGAGAGAGAGAATGAATGAATGCATGCATGAATGAATGCATGAATTAATGAATGAATGAGTGAATGACTGAATGACTGACTGAATGAATGAATGATTGAGCCAAACTCGTCTCAACATATTTTGGCCATGCAAGTTTGATCAAGTTTGTCTCTTTGTGTGTGTTCGGGCCAGTGTGCGTTCAAGTGCCTCACTCGATCTTCTTTAACTTCAAGTGGTCCGAAATTGGTGTGCGCTTCAGCGCGAGTTTGGTTTGGTGCCAGCTTTTGTGGACATTTGGCATTTGGGATGACGTGATGATGGGGTTTGCTCCAAGGTGATTGATCAGATCTTCATTGCGATTTTCTTGTTGGAGTTAGTATTCAGACTCCTGGCATGGGGAGGGGTTTTGGCCCTCGGGGAGGCAAGACGGACAAGGCGTTCGGCATCGTTCAGCAGCTTTGGACGGTTAGACTGTTTAGTTGAATTCCTGCACATTCCATTTCACTTGGCCAAGTGTCATCTAGGATTTCTGGTGGACGGCGTCGAATTTTTCAAGGAGTGGGTAACGTTTCTGCCGCCTTTGTGCTTGGAACTTGAACAATTGCCATGTTGCCCAGATCCCTTTGCGGTCTGGAGCCAGGACGTTGCCAACGCTTTTGATGCATGCCTGGTGGTGATCGGATGTGTGGCCTGGCCATTTTGTTTTGCGTTCTCGCATTGCGAGAGCATTTCGAGTGAGCCCGGTTGGAGAGCGACCAAAGCAAGAGCACACTTTGTTTTGACCTGGTGGATGTGGTGTGAAAGATTTACTCACCTAGGTGGATCCTTTACATAATCCATGGATGTGGCTTTCTGCCTCAATGAAGCTACCTCAATCCCGAAACCATGGCTCCCTTTTCCGAAACCAGAGGGGTGCCCTCGTTGAGAAACCACCAGGTGGACATCCTAGTGATTGGCCCTGTGCTTGGCAATGGCAACGCCGCCATGATGCGAGTGGTGCGTACATTGAAATCGCTGAGGGCTTTGCGACTGTTGCGCGCCTTTCGAACCTCGGGCATTCGGAGGAAAAGGCTCCACTACATCCCTTCCGGATGTCCAGAGACATGGGGTTTTGTGTCGATGGATTGGCAGTGTCATACTAAGATCAGGGGTTAGCAACGGCCAGATCCGGCCACCGACTCCTCCTCCGGCCTCCTTGTGCCTCGCTGAGGATTTGTGCGGGGCTTGCGGCTTCTGGTGAAGGCATGTCAGTGCTTCCTGCCCTCCTTATGTTGGTCCATGGCCTCCTGGGCCGCAGCCAAAGGGAGGAACTGTTGGACTGTTGGGTTCAGATCTGATGTCGAATTTCATCTTTCAGATTCGGCTCAATGTGAGGCACCATTTTTTTTTCCGAGAGTACATTCATGTTTGGAGGCATTCTTTAGCTTAACTTCATCCAGTGGAAGCCCGAGGTGCTCCGTGTGAATATATATATATATATAGTCTGTCTACTTTTTAAAAGCAACCTATTTGATTTCTCGGACTGCCATGGCCACTTTGGACCTTCCTTTTTTCACTCCCCTCGTTTGCAGACGATCTTTCACGTCACTTGGCCTTTGCTTGGGCCAATTCGCTATAGGTCCTGCTGGCCGTCTTCATGTCAATTGGGGCATTGGTGCTGCTCAAGTTGCCTCAGAATGCTTTTCTGTGTTCTTCTTTTTTAAATGTGGTGGTTTCTTGCAGGGGCGTCTAACTCGTCCCATGGTCGTTGCTGAGTTTTCTTCGTCCAAGTCGCTTCGGTATACGCTCAAGGTGCTCGGAAATCTGCTTCTAGACTTCAGCGCCAATGAACTGGAAAACTTCGAGGATGCTTGGTGGGTGCCCATTGTTGCGGTGAACAAAGTGAAGCGAGATGTGTTACTGGAGTTAGGACCTTAAACGAAGTTCGGCCGATTTGACAGATTTCAGCCTTTGGTGCCCAGAGGTGCTATAGAATACTGCAGGTTATGGAACAAAGTATATCTCCTGCACACCTTGCTTGAGCATCTCAAGATTGACAAGTGGTGTCATCGATGGAACACCTGCCCAATGCACGCCACACCAACACAGACACAGCTTGGCGGTTTTTCAATGTTTCATCTGGAGATGTTTCCCAGCAATGCCGCATGTGTTCCGTTTGTGCTCAACCCCTTTTTGATTCTGGGCTTTCCCACAAACAAGAGGTTTAACCGGTTTTGGTCTTAGCAGCTTGAGGACCGGCAGTGGGTTTGGTCGCACTATGGCACTGCTTATCGTGCCTTGTACACGTTGCTCGGCGTCATGTTTGCGCACCAGAGAGTCCCGCAATGAGACCAGTAGGTCTTGTGTCCGGTTGCACGCTTACCTTTCAATGTTGGGAGCTGTGGCGCAGTAGTGACCATTTTCACAGATTGCAGCCACATTTTTGGAGATTTGGCACCTTACGTGTGTTCATGTCACACTCTTGCACTGAGACTTTATGAAATCACCTTCGCAGGCTTCTTGGTGGCATAAAGAATATGTTTGCTGAAGGCTTTTGACATGCCTGGCCCAAACGGCCTCCGGAATCCAAATAGTCGATACTTATCATTTGAGGATTGTTTGAATGATAGCTTGGGCCCTCCTTTTCGTTTTTTCAGCCAGCAGCCAGCAGCTGTGGCGCTCAGACAGCGCGCCAGGCAACTGGCCGACGAATGTCCGTCCCATCTTGAACAAGGTGCAAGCAGAGGGTTGGGAAGATGTCCTCGGTGACATCACTTGGTTGACGAGTCAACTTTGGTCTTAAGTTTTGAGACCTTGTTGCGTTCGGCATTGCGCAGAGCGCGCTGAAACAGGGTGACCCTGTTCAGCTTAGTTGCTAGCTGATAGTGTGTTCTTGCATGCTATCGGGTTTTGCTCTAGTTCTGGCACCTCACAGTCTCACAGTCTTTTTCCCAACTTTCGGCTAAATATGCGGGAGAAAGCATTGCTTCAGGAAACCGTCAGGAAGTCATTATTTGGGACATGCACATTGCTTCACATGATAGAGGGCCTACGTACAAAAGCTGGGCAAGAAGCTGCACTCACACTCCCGTATAGTGAGTAAGCAAAGGAGGGGAAGAAGCAGGACACATGGAAACAAGAAAATAAGAATACCAAAGAATAAGAAGCAAAGCAAGCACCGGAGCCGGAAACTGAGGCAAGCAATGTTGGCAGGTATGTAGCAAAACGAAGCGCGCAAGAAAACAGGGGATCCAAGCAGCCAGAGAAGGAGAACATGAAGGAGAAGCAGGAAAACACAAGTAGCAAAATAGTTGATCCTCCTCAAACACTCCGCGAACCCGGGGACCAGTCACATCCATGAACAGCAGCAGAGGTGAGACTTTGATTGCCATAAGAGAGCGGTAAGAGGCCGCAAAACGCAATTTTTTCGTGGCACCCCTGACAGAGCCTTTTTTCTTTCCAATTGCGCTAGCACTAGCAGCAATGTTGGCTGCTTAACCTGTTTCAACTTGCGACTTTGGGGGCGGATTGCAGGATCTTTGGGAAAACGCTTCCTCAAAAAGGGCAACTCACTGACATCTCCACCCTTTCTTGTTGCCCCTTCGCGGAGCTTCTAATTCTAGTGACGTTCTCAAACTTGCTGGACTTTGGCGTCCTCTTTTGCGCGACAGGTGAGCCATGTCTACTGCATCTTCTTTGCGCCGCGGCTTGACTTCTTGAAGCCTGGTAGCTACATCGATCTGAATCGTGAAGACATGCAGTGGCACCTGAAACCGGTCCACCATCGAGAGGTACGGCAGTTAGGGTATATAACTTCTCATCATGCACAGTGCTTTTCACTTTCCTTCATTGACACGAGCGATGACTTACGCCATTTTGGCTCAAGGACTTTACAGAACCGACGATATCATCATTTCGATCCCTCTATTTTGGCCTGCTTGGCCTGGTGGAATCATGTTTTGAGACCGGAAAAATCCAGGCCGGAGTAATGGAGAACTTTGCTTGGATCATCAGTAAGGGTGAGTGGGCAGCAGCAGCAGCGGCAGCAGCAGCAGCAACAGCATCCTAAGCCTTCTAGGATTAATGGAAGGAGCAGCAGGTGGTAAGGTGCCAGCTCAATCCAGCTGGGCCAGATGCCACAACCTTGTTTCTCCACATGTTCGCAGAAGGCTGGCAAGGTGAAGGCACCAAGCCCGTGCTGGCGGACAGCAGCTGGGATCACAGGATGCGGCGCTTATGGGGCACTGCAATTCTTGCGCTCGATGTGAAAATTCAATTTCTTGGTTCACTGGCCGGCTTTTGATTATCAGGCCGCGGGCCATCATTTCAGCAACCTGCTGCCCACCTTTGTGGCACACTTTGTGGCCATGGGGCGTCACCATGTTCTCACACAGAGCGCTGCGTGCCACCTGCTTGCTTGTGCCACTTGCTTGTGCCACCCTGGGGTCCGATACAATAGTGTATGTGGATGTGGACAAGCGGCTCGGGCGCCGCTTCTTCCACACTATTGTGGCCGTCATAATTGTAGGGCATAAGGGCCTCCATAGGTTGTCTCAATTCTACATGTTTGCACAAGCATCAGTCTTCGTGCGTTCGCGCCTCGCACAGTTTGATTTTCCGAGTGGTCGCAGACATTTTGGCTTCCACAATTGCAATGAGAGAGCCGAATTCAGGTTTTGGTTTCATTGTCTCTGGTCTTGTTGCTGTGACCCTCTAGGGCTCTAAGAAAGACTTCTGCTTGATTTCTGAGCCCCCCGAAGTTCTTCTTCGTCATCGGCCCTGGTTACCTGGACTCTTTGCTGAATCGGAGAACGTCTGCGCAGTCGGAATACTTAAAGATCTTAAAGGAGATTGGTGCCCTAGCGTAAATTTGGACGGGGGTCAGTTCCCACTTGACTTTCAACGCTTGCCGCATTTCACATGATGTTGTTGTGGGTTCTTTGGAACGGACATGGTGCCCATACTTGGTTTTCTTCGACAGTCCGAATTGCTTGAAGTGGTTCTCCAGGGAGGTCGCAAGTCGCTCGCCGAGCGCGGAATTGCCACTGCCCACGAAAAAAATAATGCATTCGCGTACACACAGTCTGTCCCGAGCCAAAGCTTAGTAACGGTGCAGAAGCATGGGCTGTGATGACGGAACAAAACCACCAACTGAACTTGCAAGAGCTGTACCTGTATGTAAAGAGCTGGCAGTTTCGAAAGAGCCACTCGTCATTCAACCCCCCCCATATGTACTGTATGAAGTGACGCCTCGTTCTTCACATGGATTCCAGAAAACCTTCAAAAACACAGTGTTGACATGACCGAGGAGAATGACTCCAAATACAAACGCGGCAACAGACAACAAACAAAGCAACAAGGTGACGGCAGGACACCGGGACACCATAGGAACGTTAAGAGCTATGCCCCGCGCGCCCATTTGGAGATAACCAGGGTGCTTGTTTTTGAGTGGTTTGCTGCTAGAGGGGTATTGAGCGCCCGTGCTGTGCAAAACTGGGGAAGATGGTCCGGAGGGGGCATAGCAGATGAAAGGTGTGAAGCCAAACTGCGCGAACACGCCGGGCCAAACTGAGGTGCTGTATGTCACAGTCATCAGCTTCGCAGTGATTCGTGTAATTTCTGCAGTGTTTCTCAAAGACACACTAGATGCGGCGCAGAATGACGCAGAGAATTTGGTTGTGGAAAGGCTGCCACGGCTCAACAAAGCATTTTCTTGTTCGCATTTTTTGTGCTCAGCGCAGGCTGCTTTGTTATAGGCGTGCGGTGTGAGTGTGAAAGGGCCACGCCTGTGCATGGAATGCAGGGCGTGTGCGCAGACCATTGTCACGCCCAAGGCTGCGGAAGAAAGACGAATACGTGAGAAGATTGGAGGCTGTTTTCATGGCTATTGATTGTGGCGGTGATGGCATGATCACAGAGCAGAGGTGCGGCGTCCTTCGGTTGTGTTGAAAGAGGGTTGTCCCATTAGAACTTTGTGGCCCTGGGGTTCATTTTCCCGTGGTCTTTGTTATAGCAGTCGGTCGTTGGTTTCGAAAAGTTGTCATTGGTTTCATGTCAGTGGCATTTGGGTCACAAAGTCGTCATCAGATGACCATGTGCTTTGGCTGCAGTGGGGTGGTTGAAGGTTGGGGTGGGAATTCTCATCGTTGTCATCATCTTCGTAGCGCTGTCTGTTTCACTTGTCATCCGTGTCGCAACAATGTCATAGGCTTCATTCCCTTGTCGGTTTTTGTGACATTGTCATCAGATAACCGTGTGATTAAATTGAAGTGTTGGGGTGTTCGCTTTGTCATCGGTTTTGCAACAGTGGCCTGCTCTGCATAGCTAGCCTTCGGTATAAAAGCATTGGTGGACTTTGAAAGCGCTAACTTTTAGAAAACGCCCTTCGAAGGCAAAAGGGGCCGCAAAAGGGGCGCCCTACGGGGCGCTACTTGCTTTTCGTGCATCAGCTGGGGGATTCCACAGACCGCTCCCGGCAAGAGGCTGACAGACATTTTGTCCCACCCGAAAGTGGCGGCGTACTTCCAAACTTTGGATCTGGATGTGCAAGAAAGCGCAAACCTTTTCCGCATCATAGATGACGGTGACGGAGAGGCTGGCTTGTGTCAGGGGTGAGTTGTGTGCAGAGCTGCAGAGCTACTTTTGTTGGTCGCGTGTGCCAGGTGACCTTGGAGGAATTTATAGACGGCATCATGAGATGCAAGGGCCAGGCACTGCCTTACACAGTCGGCCGTGAATGTTCCCGGCGTCGTTTGCAAAACCGCCTGGCGCCAGCCCTGCTTATACTATTACCACCACTACTACTACTACTACCATTACCACTACTACTACCACTACTACTACTACTACTGCTGCTGCTGCTGCTACTACTACTACTACTACTTCTACTTCTACCACTACCACTACCACTACCACCACCACCACCACGACTACTACTACTCCTCCTACTACTACTACCACTACTACTGCTACTACCATTACTGCTGCTGCTACTACTACTGCTCCTGCTGCTGCTGCCGCCGCTGCTGCTGCTGCTGCTACTACTACTACTACTGCCACTGCCACTGGCAGTGCTGCTACCACGGGTATACAGACAGGTTGTTGGGTTGAGGAGCAGCAGCGGCAAAGCTTGCTGCTTTGAAGAACTAGGCCAAGCAAAACATGGTAGATGACTACAGTGAACGCATTGCATGCATACATACATACATACATGCATACATACATACATACTTACTTACTTACTTACATACATACTTACATACATACATACATACACACACACACATACATACATACATACATACATACACATGCACGTACGTCAACAGTGCCGCATGCTGTTTGGGATTTTCAAGTGGTTTGTTCGGTGTTTTTTTCCCGAATGCGTAGCGAAGGGTTCTCGTTTAACTCTTGGGGGTCTGGGGGTAGAGTCTTGTTCGCGATCCGTTGTTTCTATGTTCGCAACCGTCCGCAACCGTTCGCAACCGTTCGCAACCGTTCGCAACCGTTCGCAACCGTTCGCAACCGTTCGCAACCGTTCGCAGTAGGACGCTAAGGCGCTGCCATTGGGGGAAGCTTTTGCAAGTGACTTTTCATGGATGTGTCCCGTGTCAGTTTGCGACGCTATTCCATTGTGATTTGCATGAAAATGACATGTCGCGCAAGAAGCGTGATGCGTTTCGCTGCACAGGCGCAGTGGTTTGAGAGATCCGCAGTTTACTGCGCAGTTCCATTGGGATTAGCGTTTGGAGGGTCGTGTTTTTGGAGTGTTGGATGTGGCCGTGCCATTGGGATTTGCATTTCAGGGTGTGGCCTCGAGGCTCTGTTTTCGTGACAAGTCTCAGCTGAAATGGCGATTTTGGTGGATGGGA